TATATACTTTGCTGGTTTTTGTGTTTCTCTAGAGAACCCAATCCAACACAACTTCAAAGAGATCTTTTACAGCAGATTTGCCCAAAGCAATACATCATTTGATTTCTTCACTACTTCTATGGGTGTTGATTGTGGATCCATGTAAAATGAAATCTTTGACAACTCAGTCTTCTCAGTTTATCATTCTGTTGTTTATTGGTCCAATTGTGAGGATTTTTTTTTTTTTTAATGTTGAGGTATATTCCACACTGTAAGCTATAGTCTTGATCATCATCATCAGTAAGTGCTTCAAGTCCTCTTCAATTTCAGCAAGCAAAGTTGTGTCACCTGCATATTGCAGGTTATTAATGTGACTTCTTCAGTCCTGAAGTTCTTCATATAGTCCAGCTTCTCAGATTATTTGTTCAGCATACACATTGAATAAGTATGGTGAAAGGATACAACCCTGACACGTACCTTTCCTTATTTTAATTCACACTGTATCCTTTTGTTCTGTTTGAACAATTGCCTCTTGTTCTATGTACAGGTTCTGTATGAGCACAATTAAGTGTTCTGGAATTCCCATTCTTTGCAATGTAGTCTGTAATTTATTATGATCCACACATTGGATTCCTTTGGGTAGTCAATAAAGCACAGGTAAACATCTTTCTAGTATTCTCTACTTTCAGCCAAGATCCAACTGACATCAACAATGATATCCCTTGTTCCATATCCTTTTTTGAATCTGGCTTGAACTTTTGGCAGTTCTCTATGTACTGCAGCAACTGTTTTTAATTATTTTCAACAAAAATTTACTTGTATGTGATATTAATAATATTGTTCAATAATTTCCACATTCTGTTGGATCATATTTCTTTGGAATGGACACAGATATGCAACTAATCCAGTCAGTTGTCTAGGTAGCTGTTTTCCATATTCCTTGGCATAGACAAATGAGCACTTCCAACATTGCATCCATTTGTTGAAACACCTCAATTAGTATCCCATAAATTCCCAGTGCCTTGTTTTTCACCAATGCCTTCAGTACAGCTTGTACTTATTCCATCAGTTCTTTTATTTTTTTTCTTTTTTTCAATAATGACCTCTATAACCCACTCTCACTGTCCCCACTTCAGAGTGTTTTCCCACACATGAGGTTGAAGCTGCCTGATGAGAATTGTATCTACTCATGATAAATGCATTCTGTTACAGAAATATTTGATGTTTCTCTGTGCGTTTAGGTTTTTGACAGTTCCTGATGTCAGGAGTATGATCTGTAGCAGCTGAACAGTGTCCCACAGAGCTCTCAGGGGATGCAAGTGTGATGTCCACAAAACTTTCCCTTACTGTCTCCATAGACTATCTGGAGGCTGTCTTGGTAAGTCCTCATGGATTCTTGAGCTCCACTGCTTTTGCATTTTGAGATCAGATCCAATATTAATTGCGAGTTTGATAAATTTATTTGATGTTCTGTAGTGCTTAGGAAAGTTTCAAAATGGCGTATTCCAAATCCAAGAAAGTAGTCGATTTTCCTGTTGGAACTATGACTTTCCATGTGGCCAGTAACTGTGGTTATAAGTCTTATTCATATTTGAGTTTTTTCTTGATCTCCCTAGAAACAGTTTGTCAACTCAATGGCCATTTTGGGTATATTGCAATTGGAGAAACTAGTATATTTAGTGTCTAAATTAGAAAATCATGGTGCCAAAACCAGATAACAGTAATGGGATGCCTACTTTGAATGGTATTCTGAGCTTCCAAATGTATCCATTATTCTAAAGTTGCCTCTCTGAAAGACACTGTATCAGAGGGAAAAAAAAATTATTATAAACTGTAAGGAGTCTGGACATCTAGCTTGCAGAATGAACTAGGTAAAGAAATATTAAAACAAAGTTCCATGTGGTTATTTACAAAATAATCCTAGTTTTTTAAGCTGGAAAATGTGGACATGAGTTTGAGCACTGTAAGGGACTCTAGAGCACTTGCCACACCAATAGAAAGATGCTCATATAAGGATAAGCTGGAACATGGGATGGGCCACAGCATAAGGCTGCCCATCGGCTGCAAGGAAACTCTCATGCAACAGAAGTACACTATAAAAGAAAACACTGACCAAAACCTGCGACAGACTCTCTACCTTAGTTACCTAGCGTTGCTATAATGGAAATACCACAAGTGAGTGCCTTAACAGACAAATTTATTTTCTCACAGTTTAGGAGGCTAGATGTCCAAATTCAGCATGCTGGCTTTAGGGGAAAGCTTTCTTTGTGTGTCAGCTCTAGGGGAATGTCCTTGTCTCATTAGCTTGTTTCTTGGTTTCTTGGAGATCTCCATTGAGGCTTGGCATCAATCTTGCCCCATCTCTGCTTGCTAGCTTGTGTGTTTAATCACTTTTTAAAGATACTGACTCACATGAGACAAAATGTATATGAACTGCTGTATGGAAAATGAATTTGCTCTGTAAACTTTCATGCAAATCACAATAAAAATAAAATTTTTAAAAAAACATAAAAGGGAAGAAGAAGAAGATCGGGGAAAATATGTAGGGGGGGGGTTCTGTGACCAAAGACTTTTTAAAGGGAGACAAGAAGTGAGGGGATCTCAAACCAGGTA